CGCTGCTGAAGCTGACCAGCAGCGGCTGAATCAGGGAGTCCTGTGGCAGAGCTGGACTATCGGAAGGGGGGGCTATAAGGGGGTCTGGGGTAGCATCCCCCCACCCCAGGCCCCTCATAGCCCCCCCTTCTGATAGTCCGGCATATCTGATAATCCGGAACCCCTTGGGTCCTAGAGGTGCCGGATTATCGGAAGTTTACTGTACAAGGATTAGAGTCTAATGTTGCCATTATGCATTTGCATTAGCTGCCTCTTGGCTTCTGGGTATAGTAAAGATGTTGTGACCCCAAATTGTTTAGAATCTGCCAGCATGAGATCCCTTCTTTCCTTTTGTGACACTGCAGGCAGAGGTTACAGCCAGGCTGGAGCAACCTCTGCTTAAGGTGGATCGGGGTGTGGGCGGGGAAGGTGTGCTCCTTCTGGGCTGGAATAGTCGATTAAATGGGATTTCATATTCCCGGTTTGGATACAACTCTCCAGAAGTTACCAGCCTAAGGCAGGCACCCAACTTGGAAACTTTCAGACCAAATTGTTAACATTTTGCCAAGTTATAAGCAACTTAAAATGGAATCTGCACTGGGAAGTATCAGGCTATTGAGTAAGTCAGCTTTGTCTGGAATAGTTTTGGGATGAGAGGGGAAAATAAGACTCGAGATTCTTATAACTACAACTAATCAAAAAGGTGTAATCACTTCTCCCCATGCGCCTTTCCTCCTTTCCTCTTTTTAAAGATAGAATTTAATATTTTTAAAATACCTCTCCTAGAGTCTCTGGTCAAATTGCGAGTATCCTGTCTCATGGCATTTGATAACTAGCTCTCTTCTGTAGCACACTTTGTCTTTATTTATAACTGGATTTTTGTTCTGTCTTTGTTTTTGTTAGACTTGAACTGAGTTATGAGAGAACATACAGTGAAGAAGAGAAGCTAGATTTCTGTCTTGGCCATGATCCAGCAGTGACTATTACTTTTGTATGCCCATCAAAGAGAAGAGGAGAGGTAATTACATTCTGTTGGACTGCGTTAATAATCATTCTCAGTTCACGTCTCTGCTTTGCTAAGCGCAGAAACCTAGTATGTGCTTGCCTATCATTCACAAAGCTTATTAATCTTGAGATCCTCAGATAGGAAGTATTAATACTCCTTATTTGAATTTTTTTAAAACTCAAAATCTTTCCAGAGATAGTTGTTCTAGGAATACAAATCAGAGAAAAGGTGGGTGAGCTCCCAGCTCTGTGAAACTTGAAAGTTTGTCTCAACATAAAGTTGGTCCAGTAAAAGATACTACCTTGCCCACTTTGGAGTCTCTATAATATCCTGGGACTAATATGGCTACTCCGCCACTGCAAACAATCATGGGGATACAAATGTGTTGTGGCTGTCTCAAAGAATCCTTTCTTGATTTGGATGATGATTTCTCTCTTCTGAGTTTCAATTTGTGTTGAGATCATTAGAGCCTAGTACAAGGGTGGAAATGGTATTCTCCCTCTAGAGTGTTATTCCTAGTCAAGAAGGTCTGCTTGCTAATGAGTGCAAGCTGTTGTCCAGCCTGATTTGTGTGACAAGCTTCTAGTTTTTGTTCTGTGTAATTTGGTTCTATTTTAAATCTGGCCATTTGTCTTGCATTGATTTCACTCATTCCTGTCGTTTGCAAAATAAGAGTCAGGTGCTTGCTTTAATGCTGAATGTGCTTTAAGTGGAAAGAAAGTGCCCAAGAAATTATTCTGTCTTTATAAACGGATAAGAGCTTATTTTAAAGTGGTCTGTTTTCATGACCATATTTTCCTTCTGATTAAGTCCTTATAAGAATTTCAGTCTGCTTCTCATGAGTTAACTAATACTCATATTAACTAATACTCAGAAACTAATATTCTGATACAATTAATAAGTTCCCAGAAGCTTCTACCAGAAGGTAGAGAGTCAAGAAGTGAGAACTCTAGAGTAAAGACCATTTACCAAGAATATGCAACAGTGTTATGGTAGAAGTAGGATGGGGGAAAGGGGAGGAAGAGAGGATGAATCCTGTGTAACTTGAGGTCTTATTCAGACAAGTGTCTCCATTCTTTTATTCATTTTAACTCTTGTCCCCCTTTAACATGCACAGAGTAGACTGTGTATATGGTTTGCACTTATTATCCTGGCTCCGATACAATCTCATGTTGGGCAAGTCAGTCTATTGGTTGATATGGAATTGCTTGATTAGACTCTTCAGGGTGTTGATGATTAGTGTTTGAAGAAGAAAACTGTTATGACACATTTTTCAAGCTGCAGAAAATCTTACCAATGTTAGCTGCATCAAGTCAACTCTCAACAGTGATAATTATATTCTCTTATTCTTACAAACTTGCTATACCATTGATAACTTTTCAGGAGTTAAGTCTTTTGTGGTACCTTAGTTCTAGATACAATGACCAACATTTTTAAATCTAGCGCTTATGGTAGGTTTTTAGATTTAGTTGCCTATTGTAAGCACCTAGATTTAAAAAAAGCTGGTCACTTTTTTGAGTGTACAACAAAGATATTGCATTCATTTTATATAGATTAAATATACAAATCAAGATGACAAACATTATAGTGTAATATAAAGGAGTCTTTAATTTCTTCAGTCTTTCTTTAAAAAAAAAAAGTCTCTTACATTTTCAAAAGCATAGTCTGTCTTTGCTGGAAACTTGACTTTGACCTAACTGTGTGTGTGGGGGGGTGGGTGGTGCAAAGGCTGGAGGAGAGGGAGAAAGCAAAAGGTGTTAGTATATGTACCTTTCATCTGAATTCTAGTCAAATGAAACTTAAAAAAAACCCTGGTCTTATTTACAACTTTAATCATGTTCACTTCTGCATCAGCGCACAGGCCCCAAACTCACTGCCAAGCTCCACTGCCGGTATGAAATTGAATGGGTCACTGAATATGCCTGTCACAGAGATTACCTGGAAAGTAGAAACTGTAGTCTGACCAGTGAACAGCATGATATCTCCATTGACTTGACTCCACTCACTCAGCATCCAGGTAAATTCCTTATGTTTCTTTAACGGAAGGAAATAAATTCCATAAGCCAAAACCGTTGCTTGTGATAGCATCTGTGTATAGAGCATTTTAGACTGAAACAGTAACACGTTTCTGCAGTACGTGTTCAGGGTTGTTGTTTTTCTTTGAACTTTAAAAAAACAAAACAAAAAAAAGGCCACATTTAATTTCCTTTTACTGTTTCCTTAGGCTATGTCACACCGTACATGGCTAAAGATGAGAGAGAAGAATATTACTATTACTTAAATATTTGTGGGAGAACCACTGCAGGCAGTTGCCAGGAAGATGGTGGATATGTTTCTTCTTGCCAAGTAAAGCCTCAGGGTAACCAGAAAAAAGTGGCAGGGAAATTTGAGAACCAAACCCTCAGGTTTGTAAACTTCCCTCAAGGCATCTGAGCCACTTTTTGTCCTTCAGATGGGTCACTGAAAAACACAAAGGGTAAACATCTGATAAACGTTCCGACTTCTGTCTATTAGAAGCTGTTTTGTTTTGTGAAATGTACAGAATGCAGTAGGAGGGTGAATAAATAGAGCTATGTAACCAGGCCCACCGAGCGGGAAGGTGGGTGAGCAAAGGGAGCAGTTGCCCTGGGGCCTGGCAGTTCAGAGTGGCTCCGGGCTGCTGGTCATTGCTGCTACTCCGGTAGCAGCCGTCGCTCCAAACCTTTTAAATCACTGCCAGAGTTCCACATACGTCATGTTCTGTGTAGCTCTGAGAGCTTGGGGAGCGGGCACTGTGCTCTGAGTGGCACTGAGGGCTGGCTGCCAGAGGGCCTGTCGATTCTGGGAGGGAGCACGGAGCCATCCACCCCTTTTCCATAGGGCCCACAGATGCTGTCTGCTCTGTTACATAGACTCTGTTTTTATTTTGTGAGTTTAATATCGTGGTAATGCTTCAGCAGAGCTGTGCTTGCAAGCACCATGGCAGCTTTACAAGACCAAGGGAGCTAAGGTGCTCCACAAGAGGGGATTACCATAAAGTACTTCTCTCCTGTTCTGTGGGCTTTAATATTTAGACTTTCAGGCTGCTGCTGCTGCTGAGTTGCTTGGCAGAACTTTGCTGGCAACATTACATCAGAATCCTGTTGGAGCCAGGCTATATAGAGTAATGAATCTGCTAGGGTTTCTTACTATGTTCAGTTCGGCAAAAGCATGCAACATATTTTGCACTTCTGTGATGCACAATTTGTATGATTTTTTGGAATTGCAAACCCATATAGTGGAGCAAGATCTCTGTGGGTATATTCCTTCCTGAGGCATCTCTAAGCTAGTTTGAACACTGGTACTTGCAAAACAGCACTCTTTAGATGATTTGATATACAGGGGTGTCTCTTAGCCTTGTTCTTCAGAACACGCTTTCAGAGCTTCTTGACTCTTTTCTGGGGTAGGACAGTGAGGAATGACTTTCTACCCCTTCAAGAACACAAATGCAAACCAACTTTTTCATGAAAATATTTTCATGCCAGGTTGATTAAAAAAGGAATGTTCTTCCAATAAATGGAATATTGGATGCTGGAGATCCTGAATGAAAATGATGGTGTTCTTAGAAGTATTTAATTTCTGGTAGGAAATATCCACAAAAAAGTTGATTTTGTTCAGAAAATGTATAATTGGTTCAAGGGGAAATCCCATGCGATGTAGATGGACAGAAAGAAAAGTTAGGGCCTGAGTCTCTGCTTATCTGTACTTCATGTAGTCATTTGTCTGTGCAAACTGGTTGTTATACACTATAAATCAGAAAGGTGTAACTAAACAAAGTGCAAGCAGTGGAGAATTGGACTTAGTGTTCAGCTTAATTGTGAAGGAGTAACAACAGAATTTCTCAGTGGTTGACAAATGCCAGGGAGAAAGCAATTAGAATATTCTTGTTGTTATGGAAAACTCAGTTATTATGCTGAGTAACAATGTCTTCCTATGGCTAGAATGAAGCAGTTATCAGTTGCGTGAATTGGGCTTTCATTAGGTAGGACAAATAGCATGCTAATTTTTGTCATAGGTTAATTTCAAGCACTGGGATTTTTTTTCAGGTACTCTGATGGGGATCTCACTCTAACATACCCCGATGGAGATGCATGCAGCTCTGGCTTTCAACGAATGACTGTCATAAATTTTGAGTGCAATGAGACTGCAGGTGAGTGGATGGATTAGAATTATTTTACTGTGCACTTGTTGCCTGTATGTGTGTGTTGTGTTTTGCTATTCAACTAGTGGAACTACTTCCCGTGTGCGTGAGGCAGGCAGTTATGAGCCGACATGGTTGTTTCTAATTTCTTATCTGAGGGCACGATACATGACCTCCTGTTGAGAATCATTGCACTTACATTTGCCATAGTCCAGAATGACAGAGATTTTTAATCAGAGAGCATTTATGTTTAGTTTAAAAGCACTACATTTTTTTAATGTTCAACCACCAAAGGGTGTGTTTCTTCACTGTTTTCTTGGTCTGCAGTTAATTCTGTGGCTGATACTATAGTACAACGCACTCTGTAATGTTTCTGCTATGATGTGGGTGTGAAAGGAACAAACCCCATTACCAGACTGTGCCTGTTGAAACCTAGTTTTCTTATGATAATAAGTTCTCCTGGCTTTCTAACCTTTCAGGTAGCGATGGAAAAGGCACACCAGTGTTTACTGGGGAGGTGGACTGCACATATTTCTTCACCTGGGATACTAAATATGCCTGTGTTCAGGAGAAGGAAGATCTCCTTTGCAGAATTGCTGATAAAAAGAAACGATATGATTTGTCACCTCTGATTCGCAGTTCAGGTATAGCAGCAAAAATAAACCACTGTGTTTTACTGACTGTTTTCAGTTTATTGTAAAATCATGTGTTTTCTTAACCACTGCTTCTTAGCCTCATCTTAGCTATTTCATGGGTTCTTAATATCCTTTTTTTGTTATACTAGTATTGAATTTCCTTTTTAGGGAAAAAATCTCTAATAATGAAGATTTAAACGTATTCTAAAGGTGCAGCCTATATCACTCCAGGTCATTTTATATGCAGCTATGGTTTTTAAACAGTTCTTCCTATTGTGGATGTGTTTGGAATCTTAGTCAGTGAGGCAAGACTGATATACCTAAAATAAAATCTCTTGTTCCCAGAGTCAGCGCAGAATTGGGAAGCTGTGGACAGCAGTCCTGTAAAAGCAGACAAGAAACACTTTTTCATCAACGTCTGTCATAAAATACTTAAAAAAGGAGTAGCTGTTGTTTGCTCAGATGATGCAGCTGTTTGCTCTGTTGGTGAGTGCATAGCTTTGAAACACAAGTGTGTATGGAATATTACTTGTGAAAATAGATGACGCTTCATTGAGATTGGTGGTTTTTTTTTTTTTTTT